GATGCCATTTCTTGGGCACTGTGTGTGTGTGTGTGTGTGTGTGTGTGTGTGTGTGTGTGTGTCTTTCACTGGCTTGCAGCTCACAGAGTGGTCTGGTCTTGGTGGTCAGGGAGCTCCAGGATGTACTTCTTTCTACCTCCCCAGTTCTGAGATTACAAACGTGCCACAAAAGTTCTGCTTTTCTTTTTGACTATTTTGAGACAGGGTCTCACCATAGCTCCATCTAGCCTGGAGCTTGCTATGTAGACCAGGCTGGCCTCTATCTCTTGATCTCACAGAGATCCATCTGCCTTTGCCTCTAGAGTGCTGGGATTAAAGGCATATGCCACTATGCCTGGCCCCAGCTTTACTTCTTTTAATGTGGGTTCTGGGGATTGAACTCAGGTCCTCACGCAAGCCAAGGCAAACGCTTTACTAAGTTATCGCCCCAGCTCTCCCAAAAGACAGTTTTTTTTTTTTTTTTTTTTTTTTGAGACAGAGTCTCACTATGTCTGGAATTCATTATGTAGTACAGTCTGACCTTGAACTCACATAGATCTACCTGCCTCTTCCTCCCATTGCTGGGATTAAAGGTGTGCATCGCCATGCCCAGTCTCAAAAGACACTTCTTAAACAAACAAATTTTCACCCCAACTTGATGGATATAAGAAAACTCCACGAGGGTTGGAGAGATGGCTCAGTGAAGAGCACTGGCTGCTCTTGCAGAGGATCTGGGTTTGGTTCCCAGCGCTCACATGACAGCTAACAATTGTTCATAACTCTAGTTCCAGGGGATCTGATACCCCCCCTTCTGACCTCTGCAGGTATTGCACGACATGGGTGCACTTACATAACGCAGGCAATACACTCATGCACATAAAATAATAAATAAAATATTTTTTTTTAAAAAAAAGAAAACTCCATGTTGGGCAAGTTCCAGGCCAGCTGAGTCTACCAGGAGACCCTATCTCAAAAAGACCAAAAAAGAAAATTTCATTTTCCCCAGGTAAGGTGGTGCTAAATTTTCAGTCTAGTCACTCAAGAGGCTGAGGCAGGAAGATTGAAAGTTTGAGGACAAGCTGGGCTACATAGAGGGATCCTGATTCAGAATAATAGCAACAGGGCTAGAGAGATGGCTCAGCCATTAAGAGCACTTGCTGCTCTCCCAGAGGACCTGAGTTCAGCTCCCAGGACCCCTATCAGGTGGCTCATAACTGCCTGCAACTTCAGCTCCAGAAGGTCTGACACCCTCTTCTGGCCTCCCAGGACATTTGCACTTGTGTGCACATTACCCAGACACAAACACGTGATTTTTAAAAAATATTTTTATTATTATTTTTATGTGTATGAATATTATGCCTGCATGTAAGTAAGTGCACCTGTGTTGTGCAATGCCTGCAGAAGACAGAAGAGGCTGTTGGATCCTCTGGAACTGGAGTTACAGGCAGTTGTTAGCTGCCAAGTGGGTGCTGGGATACGAACCTAGGTCTTCTGCAAGAACACTCAGTGTTCTTAATTGCTGAGCCATCTCTCCAGGCCTCAAACACATGACTTTTAAAAAATTCTTAAAAAAATAATGGCTGGGATGCAGATGTATTTCAGTGGTAGGGCACTTGTGTAGTACGCATGAGACCCTAAATTTAACCTTTAGTACTTAGAGAGACAAAGAGACAGAGACAGAGGCAGAGACAAAAAAAAAAAAATTCCATTTTTTAATGTACCTCAAAATGAACCTCCAGACTGCCATAGGAGAGTCTAGCTTCTTAGCTCTGCCTAGACCAGGCTTCGGGACAACAGAAGGGATCCTGTGGTTCATGTCCAGCCCTCAGGCCCTTGGGGCAGTCAGCCAATGTGGACCCCATGCTTTTCATTTCTAAGGGGAGCTCCTGGGGCTCAGGCCGACTTCTGCTATTGTCCACACAGGGAGTGGATGTGGGCACAGCAAAAGAAGAGAAAAGGCTTCTTTGGAAGCCATACACCCAGGGAGGCCTGTTCCTAGTGGGTGGGGCCAGAAAGCTAGAAAAATAATAAATAAAAACAAAAGTGAAGAGAAGCAAAGCTCTCGGGTGCCAGAATGGGGCTGGCCGGGGCTGTGGCTGGCTGAGTAATGGGTTCCACATTTGTCTGGCTCTGTTTGTAGCCACTAGGATCCAGGATGCACAGTGGGCCTTGAAAGGGCCCGAGGGGACAGCCCAGCCGTGGCCAGATCTAGCATACCCTTGGGATGGCCCTGTCCCTGGCTGGCCACCACATAGGCAAGATATGACTTTGAGCTCACACCCCAGAACCCCAGCCTTCCTCCCCCCATAAACTCCACCCCTGCTCCGAGGCTCCTGGGCTCCTGCCGGCCTGCACAGATTGTTCGCGTTATTAATGCGTTTTCCCAGAGATTCCATCTGGCCATTTAATTGCTCTGGGATGGGGCTAGGATGCTTTGATAGTGAATTGGTATCTTTCCTAGGTTGCAGCTTTCGTTAAATGCTCCATCCACAGTTAGAAGGATATGGGGGAGGGCGGTGGGGTTGAGAGAAGAGACAGCAGGAGCCTTTCACAGGAGGTAAGAAAGAGCTTTCAAAAAGTGCAGGTGGGGTACGGGAGAGGGGAGGAAAGGAGGGCGGAAGGGGGGAGAAGTGGAGGAGAAAGGGAAGGGAAGAGAAAGGAGGGGAGGAGGGAAAGGAAAGGAGAAGGGGACGGAAAGGAAGAGAAGAGCAAAAGGAAAAAAGAAAAGGGCTTCCCTCTCTCCATCCACCAGCATAGGAGAGAAACATCTAGAATGTCAACACTATCCAGGTAAGGAAGCTGCTTCTGCTTGGTGTCTGCAGAAGGCCTATGGGTGCTCTGGAAAAAGAGGCCTCTTGGCTAAGCAAAGTCAGAGAGTCTCTGCTCCCCCTTGACCTTCATGATGAGGTGCCCCCTCCCCTCTTGTGAAATCAGTGGCTCTAGGAAGCCTGGCAGGTTCCTCCTGGGAAGGAGGGGGCGGGAGGCCTGGGAGGGGCAGATACTCCTCACCCTTCCCAGTGGCTCATGGCAGGTGTCAGGGCCAAACCCCATGTTCACAGATTCCCAGGCGATCCAAGAGATAAGGGTGACACTCTTGACAGCACTAAGCTATCTGGTGGCAAGGGAGTCACCTCCCTCTCTGCTTCTGCCCTCGTTCCTTTCCTGAAGCCTGCCAGGGGACAAAGGCTCAGACATGGTCCAGAGAAAGAGTAGGTCACTGTAGCCCGGCAGTGCCAGTCCTGAGGAAGGGAAGCATCTGGGCTTTGGAGGACTGGGTCCAGGTGGGACTGGCCTCACCAGGTGTTCGGTCAAAAGCTGCTGCTTGCATATCAGAAAGAGCCCCTTATTGCATTTGGCACCCTGGCACAGTTTGGGGCCGCAAGGTTATGACCTCCTCAAGGGCAAGAGTAGAATCTGTTCCAAGTGATGTCCTGATCCTTGGCACAGGCCCTGGCATACAGCAGGCATCTAGTGAGTATTTGAAGGTGCATTTAGTTCTTCATGAAGGTTGAAGACAAGAAGGGAACTCTGCAGTGGGTGACCAAGAATGCCTGTCCCTGGAAGGCTACCTCAAGCTGGGCATGACATATACACTACATAGGATCATCCCACACCGCTCCCCCCAGCCTCAGCCCTGAAGCCACACTGGAGGCTTCACCCTCCCCATCCCTCCCTAAGCCAAGATATGTCTCCAACACAGCATACTTGGGAACTCAGGCTAGGAATACAGGAGGGGTGCCCTTCTATGAACCACCAAAGAGAAGACCCTACCCCGGGAGGTAGGGGAAGGAGGGCAGAAGGGTTGTCCCCTCCCTCCATTGCTCAGCCTAGGACCTGTTCTAGGGGCAAAGGGGGGAAGTCAAGGATCAGCCCCTGTAAACAAGAAAAACTGGAATTCGTACTGAACTCAAGAGAGGGTTTGCTGGGACTTGCAAGCCATGGCCTGCCCCAGCCTCTAGGCAGGCGGTAGGGCTCTGCCTCCTTGGTTCCCAGGCTGGCAGGGCAAGCCACCGCCTCCTCACTAGGCTTGTGGCCTTTCCTCTGCCAAGGGCAGCCATAGGTGAGGAGGTGGCAAGGTATAGGACAGAGAGGGCGGTAGGGGTAGGGGTTGGTGGGGCAAGTTAACCACATAGATTCAAAATAAAACTTCTGGAATTTAAAAGAATGTGTGATTTCCCATCTAGCTTACACTGTAAGCTACTCAGCAATCAGGAGGAAATAGAGGCAATAGCCCCTAGGCTCAGGCAGGATGGGGGATGAAGTCTACCTTCCTCTTACTGGGCTGTCCCAACAGCTAAAAAGGATGTCTGTCCTCATGGGGCGGGGGGCAGCTGTAGCAGTAAAGAGTTCATTGGATGTCAACCTCCTGCTTGGTCCAGGATGGAGAAAGCAGGGCAGATGGATGCAGGAGATGGAACCTCAACAGGTGAGTTATGGGATGTATCTCCCTCCCTAGGTAGGCTGAGGTAAGGCAGGTATGGAGGGGTGCTCAGCAGGCAGGCTGCCCTTTGGGGTATCACTGGGGTTTGGAAAGCAGGGAGAGGTGAAGGATCCCTTTTGCTCAGGTCCCACTAGAAGGCTGGGGCAAAGGTAGGTGTGAGCCACCCTATTCTTGAGCTGGGAATGATTTGGGAGTGTGGCCAAAGGGCCCCTGGAGCTGAGCATTGCTGGGTGGGCCTACCCCTCAAACAGAGTGCTCCTTCTCTGAGTTCACCCTTCTCTTAGGACACAGGAAAGGCCATGATCGTTTCTAAGGCCTTCTGGGTTCCCAGGGGACTGTCTTTAGGCTCAGGCATTCTCAATGTTCACCCCTTGTCTCCTGACTGCTATCTGGCTTGATTGGGGGAAGCCACTCTCCCACCCCCCCACGCTTCCCACCCCCAACCAACACACACCAACGTAAAAGAGACGCAAGAGATGCCAATTAAGCCATGGAAAACGCTGTGATTCTTTTCCAATAGAACCTGACCCACAGCACACCACAGAAGTAGTTCCTTTCTGGGTTTAAAAAGACACCAAAATTGACTTTGATATGTTTATATTATAGATATAATACATACAACATCTAGCATGAAACTGTGCTCTCCCCCAAAGAAGGGAAGGAAGCAGTCTAACCCTGCTCCCAGCCCCAGGGGTGTGCACACATTGGCTGGAGGTGGCCTTTCCAGACTCAGAGCCAGGGCCTTTGGGAGGGGGGCGGGGAAAGCCTGTGTGCAGTCCCAGCTGCAGAGAACTAAGACCCACAACTACAGCCAGAGAAAGCTTGGGGTGGGGGGTTAAGAGGAATCCTAAGGCACCTCATTGGTCCCCCAGGAGCGAAAGAAAAAAAAAAATCCCAAAACCAAAAGGAAAGTGAGCCCTCAGCTCCTTCTCCGGCCACTAAGGAAGAGTCTCATTTTGGCAAGTATCTGAACAAAACCAAACCAAAACAAAGACCAAATAAAATGGTGGTTTAGCATCGACGTGCACACTGACATTGCACAAGGCACTCCTGGGACACAGAGACCAGATACAAGTGTTGATATCGGCTGATAAAGCAAAATATTTGGGAAGCTTGTCATAACTCGGGTCCCTCTGGGATGGATCGATTGTGTTTCCTGGTGCCTTCAGCGATGCTGGCAACATACAGTACACACAAGGCTGATGGCCCCCAGGTCCCTTCACCCCACCCTCCCACCCCACAAGACCAGAACCCTAGGTTCCTGTCGTCCCACAGACCACCACTCCCTTAACCACATGGCTAACTCACAACTTAGTTTTCAGTCTGACTGGGGGTGGTGACCCCCATTTCACCCAGGAACTCACCCAGGAAACCCAGCCTGTTGTAAGCTGGGTTGTATGTATGTGTGTGTGGGGGTTGTAAAGATGAAGAAGCCAGGAACTAGGAGCCCTCCATTTCCATGTAGATAGGGAAACACCCCTAGATCCAAACCCCCAACTTTCCAAGGCCCTCCCTTCTAAGAGCAGACACAGAGGGTCAGTTGGGGCTGGATTGCCGGAATCTCAGCTTCCTGAATCTTCCTCCTGCCGTGGGCCTGTACCCTTCATTCTCTCATGGGGGCTTTCTGCAGCCTTGGAGGACGCAGGAATCCTCCAAATAAAATATCAAGGCACATATTTGCTCCCCCTACTCGGTAGGAATCGGAGCGAGTTTGCATTTCCAAGGCACAAGGTTATTCCTTAATACTAGAATTGCCGGGCTCCCAGCTCGGCCCCACGGAAAAGTCTCCCGGTAGCAAGGAGAAACCACGGCCTGACTCCCTCATCTTAGACGCACCAAGTCCGGCTCAGAGGACGGGAGGGGACACGCGGGGCAGGCCAAGCTTTCAGGCGACATCAGAATCTCCTAGTCCTGGCTTGCACGGCCCGGGCAGCCTGGAGATCCAGCGACCCGAAACCATTCTCCGGGTCTCCAGCCAGAGGCCCAGGGCGGTCCCGCAGCCGCGCGCCTCACGCGCAGTTGCCCATGGCCTTGACCAAGGAGCTTTCTGGCAGCTGGCGGAAGATGCCCCGCAGCGTGTCCAGTTCGCGACTCAGCTGTTCCACCCGCTTGCGCAGGCGGTCATTGTCACTGGTCAGCTCCAGCACCTTCTGCTGCGTCTCCACGTTACGCTGCTTAGCCTTGTCTCGGCTCTTGCGCACCGCGATGTTGTTGCGTTCGCGCCGCACCCGGTACTCGTTGCTGTTCTTGTCCACCGACTTCTTGGCTTTGCCAGCGCCGCCGCCGCCCGTGCGGAGATCCGGATGCGCGGCTAACCCCTTGAGCGCGCCCCCCGCGCCGGGCAGGCCCGCAGCGCCGAGCGCGGGCGCAGGGTGCGGGCTGGGCACGGGCGTGGGCGGTGGCGTGGGGTGGCCAGGCTGCAGGTGCATGGTGGTCTGGCCGCAGTGCGCGATCTGGAATTGCAGATGCGGGGCGGCCAGGTGCGCGGGCGACGCGTGCGGGTGCGGCGGCGGTGGCGGCGGCGGCGGCTGGTAGGGGAAGAGGCCGGCCAGCGCCAGCTGCTTCGCCTCGTCCTCCTCGCGGGGCTCCTGCTTGATCACAAGCGGCCGCAGCGCCGGCGCCCCGACGCGTTCGTATAGGGGCTCCAGCCTGCCGTCCAGGTACCCGGCCGCAGCGCAGCCGTAGCCCGGAGGAGGCCCGTGCGCCCCCGCGGACATGACCGCACCACCGGGGCCCACCGGGGCGCCGGGGTAGTCAAAGTCACCGCTGCCAGCCGCGGGGGCTGCAGCCGCCTTGGCCTTCTCCTGCTGCCGGCTGTGCTGGAAGAGATCGGCCAGGAACTCGTCGTTGAAGGCGGCCGGGTCGATGTAGGCGCTGATGTCGATGGACGTCTCGTGCTCACAGATGCCGCCCAGCGGCTCCGGCGCGGCAGGTGGGGCTGGGGGTGGCGCGGGACCCGCGCCCCGGGGAAAGCCGAAGGCGGCGCTGCTGGGCGCGTGCGGGGGGCTCTGGAGGTGGCTGCTCATCGGGGGCCGCGGCTCCGCCTCGTAGAAGTCGGCCGACTCCATGGGGGAGTTAGAGTTCTCCCGGCATGGCGAGCCTCGGCGGCCTCCAGCCTGCGCGTGGCGCCGCTGCTGCCGCCGCCCACCCGGAGCCCCTAACTCGGCTCGCGCCCGTGCAGCTCCGGGTCGCGAATGGCCAGGCCCGCGCGGGCTCCGCTTTTATACCCGGGTCAGCCGTCGCCCCCTGCTGTCCAAGCGGGTCTCCGACCGCGGGCAAGGGCAGGATGGTGCCTGCCGGGTCTTAGAGCCCGCCTTTTTGGAGAGGGAGGTGAGTGGGGCGGGAGCGCAGTGCTGGTGGAGAGAGGCCGTGGCACAACGCCCACCACCTCCTGCGCTGTGAGGCGAACCGTGACTACATCATGTGCCCCACCCCCGGCGGCGCTTTCGCCCCTGCGCACACGTGGTCGGTGGCTAGGCACCCCTCCTTTCAGCCTCCCCAAGTCATCCGCTTCCAGCCATCACTAGGGAGCCCAGGATCATCCAGAGGCCGCTCAGGGTGTTGGTGGAGAGCGAGTGTCGGTCTTGAGTTACAGTGGTACCGAGTCGTCTTAAAAGCTAGAGCTAGGCCTGCCCTTCCCACCCACTCGAGTTTCCAGAAGGCTGTGGCGCACACCAGCGGTGCGGGGTGGGGGTCACCGGTGGGAACAGCTTTGGATCCGCAGCCTAGCGTGCACGGCCGAGTAAAGAGGCCAGAGCGTGGAGATTATATCTTTATCTCTGAACTTCAGGCGACCCCACTGATTCCAAGCAGAGCACCTCTCCCTTCCCAGCCTCTCCCGGCACTCTGGGGTCCCTCCGGCTCAGCAAAGCAGGGCGCTAGGACCCGGCGGGGAGCGGAGGCGGCCGCTGCCCTGGAGCCTGGAGGAGCCGGGAGGACCTGGCCTGTCGATCCGCCCCGGCTGGAAAACTTTCTTTTTAATTACGTCTCCAGGCCGGAGCGGTAAGATAGCTAGGCTAAGGAAGCGGGCTCTGCTACCCTGCGTGGAAGCCTCTAGTCTCCACCCCCCCCCTTTGGCACTGGCGGGTGGGTCCCCCGAGACGGGTGGATCTGGACTTAAGGGCGAACGCACGGGGGCGGGGAGAGGGTAGGGTGGTGCGGAGAGAGGAGGCGAACTTGACTCCAGAACTGCAATACGAGGCGGGGCCCACAGTCAGAGGCCTGAAGCCACAGGTTTCTTTCCCTGTCATCCAGGTGGGCGCCAATCGAGGAAGCCGGGGTGCCGGGGAATCCTGGCTACGAGCACCCCACTAGGTACGCCCTGTCGGGTCCTCAAAATCCTCCGCACTGCGCCGCCTACACGCCGGCGCGCAGCTGCGGGTAGGAGTTTGCACAGCCACGTGGCATCCCGCTAGTTCTCCACCCGGATCCCTGCAGGGACACGGAGGCGGAGGTCGGGGACAGATGGGGCCTGGTGAGCACACACAAGCCTCTCCTCCTTGTATCTCACGGAGGTGCAATCCGTCCTCCTCTGGAACTGAGGCCCACCCCACTTGTCCAGAGTTGCTGTCTGGAGGTGCGCCTGCCTGAGACTTCGGGGTGCACAGGTCAAGAGCCGCATGCTTTTGCCCTCTTAGGTCTGGCAGGGCGTTGAGACTCTCCCAGGAGCGCTCAAGGAGACAGCCAAAAACTCAGCTGCGGAGACCCGCGCTACTACTGTGGTCACAGAAAAGAACCAACTTTGTCTGGCGGACGCATCCTGTGCTTTAATCAAGTTCCTATTCAACATATTCTCAATGATTAATAGCCCAACTGCTTGATTTTCAATCCAGAGCTCATAAACAAGATTATTTTTAGCTTGATGCTTTTCAAACTAAGAGTAAAAAAGCAGATACACTAAATAAATAACCTGGTGTGAGCTGAGCATCGCTCTCTCTGGGCCAGATGCGGGGCCTATTAATACACCACGCACCTGTGGCTTGTGCCCTGGAGAGAAACCCTAAAATCCAACCGGGATTTTTCAGTTTTCCTTCTAAGCTAAAAAGAATGTTTTTACCTGGAGGGGGAAGGGAAGGCTGGAGGGAAAGTGTCCTGTTCGGAGCCTGGAGAGATGGGAGCAGGAAGTTGACACATGGCTGGCTCAAGGTTGTCCTCACCTGTGTAAGCAGAAGAATTTAGGACAGAAGGAAGGGAAAGCATAGGAGTACAGTCATCCACAAGGAAAGGTGTAATGACTGTGTGGAGAGTGGGGCTCCTACCCCCCAGAATCTCCTTGTCCTTTGAAGGTGTGAAAGGGGTGTGGGTGAGGACTGAGACGTGCCTTTGCTCTCCTATAGGCAGGAGACAGTAGGGAGACAGACAGGTCATATACAGTCTGCTGATAGGAAAAAGAATCTTTGTAGAGAAAGGGACACCAAAAGAGCAGGGTCCTCACATATGTTAGAGATTCCTGAATGAGGATTAAGGGTGCGTGTGCTACCATGGAGACACCCAGCCCTGGCCAATACTGGGCTGGGGAGAAGGCAGCCATTGATGCTGGAAAGGTGCTATGAACTGAATTGTGTCCCTCTAAAATTCATAAATTTATGCCCCAATGTGATGATATTTGAAGACAGAGCTTTTAGGAGGCAGGTAGGGGTAAGAGGTGGCAAGGGTGGGTTGCTAATAAGATAGGATTGATGACCATTTAGGAAGACAGCGACCTAAGTACAGAGAGGTTAGAAGCCTGAAAAAGAGCCCCACCAGACTCCAACCATGCTGGCCTCAGATGTCCAGCCTCCAGAGGGGTAAGGGAAAAAAAAAATCTATCTTTATACAACTGAGTCTGTGGGATCCCATTGGGGCACCCAGAGCTGACTGAAACAGGAAGTGAGAGAGGGCTTCATGCAGGAATGGACCTTTGAGCTATTTCCTGAGGCAGGCAGGAATTTGCTGGAAGGATAAGGAAGGAAAGGCTTTCTTGGAGGAGGGAACAGCAGGTGCAAAGGTGGAGAGGCTGAGGGAACATGGCATGTTCTGGTAACAAAGGACAAGTCCTTTGACAAGCTGGAGTGTGGGGCTAGCTGGGGAGGGGCCTAGATAAGGCTAGATCCACAGACCGGGTTAGGTTGATGGCCAAGGCCATCCGAGGTGAGGAGAAAAGCCTTATCTCACAGGCATTTGCCCTCCAGTGGTGAGTCCCATTCAGATTCTCAAAGGCCACTCTCGCTGGGATGGACAGGTGTTGGCCAGGTGAGAAACAGTGGAGTCCATGCAGGCTGTGGTGGTATACCTCAGTTTATCAGCCCTCAGAAGGCTGAGGCACAAGGCTTGCAAGTTTGAGGCCAACCTAGGTTACATAGAAAGATCACATCTCAACCCATCCCCTCTGCCAGGAGAAGCTACAGAATCCAAGGCTTCCTGGGGTGAGACAGAAGGCAGGATGGACTTGAACAAGATGCCAGGCCTCTGGCTAGGATTGCAATCTTCTGATATATACAGAGTCCTATAAGCCCCAGGGAGGCCACAGGGGACTCACCTGCAGGACACACCTGCCTGCTTTGTGCTTCTGGAGAAGTGTTTTCTTATCAAAAGATTCTTGGTTCTTAAAGAAACTCCCCTAATCACCCAATAGATTACACCTCCTATCTCATCTGGAGGCTCCAGGAGAGGTGGGGGACTCTGCAAATCCATTTAAACACCTACCTCATCATTTACTAGCTGGGTGACCTTAGGCAAGTTAATGAATTTCTCTGCGTGTCTGTTCTCTATAAACTGAGGACAGTAATTCCCTGTAGGGCTAGTAGAAGGGTTGGAGAGAATAGGCTGAGACCAGTTCCTGGCATGCTGTAGACACTTGATAAATTCAGAACTTTTACATCGAACTTGCCGTGTTTGCCTCTCAAAGCACACTTGTCTGAGGTTCAAGTTTCTCCAGAAACGTCTCATATTAAAGAACTTGCTTCAACATATGTTTGGGATGCCTGGGAATGGAGCTGGCTGGGATTCTCAGTGTGGTCTTGGGCAAAGTGGTTCGAAGTCATTCTCATCCAAACAGCCCAGAAGTCATGTGTTTGTTAGTAACTGTACAAATGGATGCTATCTAAGATCACGACATCCCAGGAGAGCAAAAATACCTGTTGACCGAGTTCATGGGAATCACCTGTTTCCCATTTTCTCTCAATAGTCACTGTAATGTATGTACATTTGCTTTTGCTGCTTGTTTTATTCTGTTTGTAGCTGGCTAGTAAAATCAGACACTAGGGATTCTAGAAGGAAATAAAAATGCAGAAAATTCAAAAAATTTGATCATTAATTTTGTTTAGCAAATTGAGAAAAGCCCTTCATTCTATTTTTTTCCTTCACTCTATTTTGATGGAAACTTTTCAGTGAACTCCCAGAGCCCCCATGCAGTAGGGACGTGTCTTCTAGAAGCGCTTATGGGATCTTTAAGAACAGTACCAATGGTAGTCCCCATTCCATGTTCTAGTAAATATCAAATTATCACTGGGCATGGTGGCACATGGCTGAAATCTCAGCACTTGGGAGGTGGAGGCAAGAGGACCACACGTTCTGTTCTTGCTCTAAAAGTTCAAGACCAGCTTGGGCTACATAGTGAGTTTTAGGCCAGTCTCCATACAGACTCTGTCTAAAAGAAAACAATGGCTGGAGAGATGGCTCAGCAGTCAAGAGCACTGGCTACCCTTGCAGAGGACCCAGGTTTGATTCCCAGCGCCTACATAGTAACTAACAATCATCTGTAACTCCAGTTCCAGGGGATCTGATGCCCTCTTCTGGCATCCTTGGGCATTGCATGACATGGGTACACTTACACATATGCAGGCAATACACTCATACACATAAAATTACAATAATATAAATAAAATATTCTTTTAAAAAATCAAACTAAGGCCAGGCGTGGTGGTGCACACCTTTAATCCCAGCACTCGGGAGGCAGAGACAGGTGGATCTCTGTGAGCTCAAGGACAGCCTGGTCTACATAGTGAGTTCCTACAGGGAGACCCTGTCTCAAAAAGACCAAAAAAAAAAAAAAAAAACCAAACAAACCAAAAACAACTCAAAAACCAAACCCAAACACCACCCTCCAAGAATTACCAAACTAAGAAACAGATGAAATGTATTCTAGACTTCTTGCCTTAATAAACATTACTTGAAGGCTGGAGATACAGTGCAGTGGTACAGTGCTGTCCCAGACCCCATCAGTGAGGGGCTGTGGGTGTGGCTTGGTGGTAGAGCACTTGCTCTGAATTTGTAGTGCAGGAATGAGAGCATGGCTCAGCAGTAGAGTACTTGTGTGGTATTTCCATCCTTGGTACAGCTATACACAAAAAAGCAAGTTTCAGAATATCCTAGAGAACCAGATTTAAACTTAGAATTTAGCTTTAGAAAATAGTGATGCTGAGACAACCAACCATGGCCCTTCTCTTCCCATTTCCCGTCCTAGAGCCAGCCTTCCAGGAGGGTCCTAGGGTCCTTAGGTCCTTCGGCAGGCCAGTGCAGATTGCTGGCACAGGGATGCAATGCTATCTATGTTCAGCGTCTATGTCCTGTCAACCTTTGGACCTGGGGACATGCATACAGGCTAATACCTAGTAAAGAGGCCCATGGGAGCCTGAGCAGATGATGCTGAACTTTTAGGGCAAGAACTTCCTAAGTCCAATGTGAGGAGGGGGCATCACCACAGAAGGGCACAAGGGGCCAACTACTGTGAGAAGTACTCCCTGTGCTTGAGTCTGGGAGTGGGGCCAGGCATGTATCAGGCAAAGTCCCAGTGTCCTGAACTGGCCAGCAGCTGCTCAGTGACCCTGTGTATGTGGGAGACAGTGGATAAGAATTCCAAACCTGCAGGGCCTGGTGGCACAGGCCTGTGATTCCAGATACTCAGAAGGCCAAGACAAGAGGACTATAAGTTCAAAGTCAGCCTGGGCAGCTTAGTAAGACCCTGTCACAAAACAACAAAA